GAACTTCTAAAAGTTACAACCAAGTCGAATATTTAGACCGTTTTCGGTCTGGATATAGTTGCAAGTTTTAAAAATTACCGCTGGGTCCTCCATATGTGGACTGATCCCGGTCCGGATATATTTGCGATGCCTCTTTCCGCCACAGTTACAGACCGTTATCGGTTCATACATATTTTATTATTTTATTATATTATGTTTTTGGGACCAATTTCGGTCCGCTTATTTCAATTTTTCAATAACCATTTATATTTCTTACTAAAATATCCGGACCGATTTCGGTCCGTATAGTTTATATATACGGACCGATTTTATGTCGGTCTGTATATTATATTTTTTCGTACCAGGTTTTTTCAGATCAACTATAGGGACCAATATCGATCCGTATATATAAATTCAGACCGATTTGTAATATATCCGGACCGATAATTCGGTCTGAATATGAGATTCTTGCAGTAGTGTACTTATTCCCTAACTTAGAAAAAAAAAATATCACTATTAAAGCTTGTTTAATCTTAGTTTCTTAAAGAATTTTTTTAATTTTGATTTATTTTTATGGTTTGATAAGAATAGTGCTCTTTTCACTTAAGCATGGACTAGTTGGTAAGAGTTTGACTCAGTATAAAGTTTAAGTTTAAATCTCAATTCGATAATGAATGATTCTAGGATAGATTTTTAATTCAAACTATTTTATATTCTAATATGTAATGGTCGGAGGACTTGCCAACCCATATATATCAAAACATTGTTACCAATAATATGTCATGGTCAGGAACGAGACAATCTTCACATGATGAATCTCATTGACATGTAACAAAACATGTTATGAATCTCATTGATATGCAACAAAACATGTTATGAATCTCATTGATATGTAACCTTCTTAGCTCACATCATGTTATGAATCTCATTGATATATTCTTTACCCTTGGGATTAAAGAGTAGTACCCTTTGAGTGGCGAGTAACGAGTATTTCAAAGGATAATTGAGTAGTCCTTTTTTACTCATTTCATTTAAAGCTTTTTCTTAATCAAAATTATAAATTTTAAAAATAATCACAAATAATTTAAATTGCAAGGAAAAAAAATCATTCTACAATTCAAATTGCATCTAACTACACAACAATAATTATTAGTGGGGTTGCAAGAGTAAAACTATTTGTGATAGGAATTAGATATAAACTCTACCTTTCTTAAAAAAGAAATAAAAATACAAAAATATAGAGTAATAAATCAAAAAGATATTGAAATTACATACAATTCATGAATAATGTATGGTTAATGTACGATTTTAATATTTAGTTAGGAATAATAAAACCAAAATGCTATTAGTTGATAAATTCATTGTTTTTAAACTTTTATCTTTGTAGTTGTATTCTAAATGTTTGTTTTCAGTTGTTATAAAAAGAATACAAACAATTGTAACAGCTTGATCATTGATATCTCAATAACACAACCAATAGAACATGTCATAGTTTGATATCCTGGTTCTGCCGGCAGACCCCCTCATTTGATGGATCTCAGCAAACTCAAGTAAGAAAGCGATGGTGATTATTTGTCCATTGTTGTATGTAGATTGTTTTAGGTGCAGAGAAATTAGTATAAGTTAGAAACATTTCTTAAGAATAGCAGTTTCTGTCTCTACACCCAAAAAGAAAAAAAAAACACTATTCCAATATACAGTGCCTACTTAATAAATTATTTTTTAGTGATTAATGTGTATCCATGCTAATTTACATACATTTTAAAACTAATTCCTCATCGATCTAGTCAAATACAAGCTATCCATGCAAGGACTAAGTAATTCATAAAAAATTACTGCTTTATTCACCTATCCAGGAAATCATTGATAACCCAAACCAGCATACAATATCTAGGAAGTAAAAATCTGAAAATAAAGAAAATTAAAAAATAAAAGAGATTCCAAATCACACTGTTCAGAGGGCAGGTTTCATTTATTTATAGCCCCCAAACCAGTGTCTCTTGCGCCCGTATAGAGGAGATGCAGCTCTAAAGAACTGCCACTCCTTCCATCTGTTTTTTATATCTGAAAATCTCAAAGACAGTAACTGCTTCTATCAGTTGGACAACGGTTTGGAACGGTTTTTATTATTTGTCTGCTCCTCAGCTCCATTATTTTCGCTTTCAATTTTTGTTTCAAATCATGCGTTAAATCTATACACCAATATGGTGCGTAATGATTTCAGTGGCACATCCCACATTGGAACAATTTTGTGTATATTTTGAATTTAAGTCTTCTTCAGATAATTTTAAGAACACACTCTTATATTGATTTGATACATTTTAAAAAATTATTTTTTTTCTTTTAATCTTAAATTAAAATTTTCTTAGGTATTTGGTTTTTTGGGTTATTAAGTTACATAATAATATGTAATCATCTCCTATCCCTTAATTTAAGCTACTTACAAACCATAGAACTCAAATTTAGATACTCTTACTTGCATAGCAAAGATATTACTATTAAACTATTTGTTGTTGACAAATTTTTTCTTAAGTGTTAGTCTAAAGACTTAACACTAAACATATCTTATAAGATAAGACTTTACTAAACTAATGAATTTAACCTTTGAAGTTAAACTTAAAACCTCTTATGTGTCAAGTTTCTATTAATTCATATCACTAACGTGTATGCCATTACACTAGAGAATTTTTCCCTCTGAGAACGCCAAGATTAAACTGAAACCAATCAATCCCTCCAACACTCTGCTTCTTTCAGCTTGTCATCGATCGATTGATTACTCTGCTACCATCAAATTCTGACGCTTCATCAACTTTATTCCATTTGCTATTTTGAGTTCAAGTTTATCTTATTATGCAAACATGCACATATAGAGCGCTGTGGGTGGTAACCCACATTTTATCAGTTCTTAGAAAAACCCGTTGTGAAAAAATTTGGGTCTAAATGAGCAGTTGGCACACTAGAAGGGGAAACTCTTATCATTTGGAAGACGCATTAACTCCTCAGAACGGTACTTTCTGCTCTCCGTCTTTTTCATTATTCAGTTTTAAAAGTTCCTAAATGACCTATATAAGTTAGAAAAAATCCTAAGGAATTTTCAGAGAGGGTACCCCTGCTTAGCGCAGAGAACTTGACGAGCCAGCTCCAAGCTTTGGAAGATCTTCTCCGTAATATTCACATTCCAAATGACAGGCTTGATTAGATTCTCTTGCGTTATTGCTCAACAGGTTACTCAGCAAAAGACGCTTACTAATTCCTTAAGAATTCCCCTCTATGCCTTGATGAAAACTGCTGTAAGTTAATTTGGAACCCGTTTATACCCACGAAGTTAGTGTCTTTGCATAACGCCTCTTTCTTAACCGGCTTCTTCCAAAGGAGCTGTTGATCTTTCTCATAACCCAACCTGTGCTCTTTGTGGAGATCACTTGGAGGAGGTGGACCATAGTTTTGCCGCTTGCAGACATTCTTACAGACTTTGGATGCGCATAGTAACTTGTGGGTTTTCCTCTAGTTTTTCCAGATTCTGCCTTGTTTTATCCTCCTTCAGCTTAGCTGTGTATTGGAATCAAAAAGATCCTAGAAGTGTTGGGCACTCACCATTTTAATAACGGCAGGGACCATATGGTATTTACAGTAATGGTATTGCCTTCAATAATTATCCTGGGATGAAATACAACATGTTTGATTTAGTGCAGTCTAAAACTATTGGTTGGGTTAAAGGAAAGTCTAAATCTGCTCTGTTTAGCCATGGAGAATGGTGCCAATTCCCACAACTCTACGTAGAAAAAGCGCAGTTTTCTACTTGTACTTGTTTCCTTTTTCTTTTACCTTCTTTAGAATTTTTGTAAGGGTGGAGTACCCCCCTTCTACTCATAGCAATAAAATTTGATTCATTGATATGTACATATAAAGAACAGAAAATTATTGTATAATTTAAACTATATTAATTACATAATTAAAACTATTATATAGAAGGTGGGTTTTCTAATATTAGAAATCTCTTCTATTTAATTTTTTTTTTTACACTTTGGTGTAGTCTTAATGGCAAAACATGAGTGATTAACCTTTGCTTTATATGAGGGGAAATTGCACATACACTACTGTGATTTGGATTGGTGCACTTAACCCCAAATTTTGCACATTCTAAAACCACGCGGAGTCGACTGCATTTTTGTGACTTTTTGAGGGGTTAAGTACACATTTTTCATATTTAATAGGTTAACTACAGTAACCCGGAACCAAATGGAGAGTAAGTGCACCTTACTCGTTATGTAATCATATTAAAAAGATAAATGTATATAATCTTATAAATATTACATAAATTGTAAACACTAATAAACTTTAGAAACCTAGAAAGACATTTCTTATTATAGCGACCTGCCGCCGTCGGCCGGCGCGTCTGGCATGCCATCTACCATTGTATCCGACCGTTCAATGGAAGGAGACGAATAGAGCCATTTTGCACGAACCGAACACAAAATGTAAAACTAGACTCAATAGCTTGAACGCGTGATACAATTGATTGACGTATAGAATTCTAATTATTGTCATATCTAAACTTTATATCTTGGGGCATCTCAAGAAGAGTAACAGAAAACAGAAAGGAGACCATAGAATGGCAGTATGGCACACACCACAATCCTATCACAATATGTCTTAATAGCAAATGTATGAAATCAAGAGTACAACGAGTTTACTTATCGTCACATATAGTAGAGAGCATGAAAGTTTAGAATTAGTGGTTTTTCCTTAAGTTTTTTAGATTAATTAAAACCATAATTCCCAAATACTAGGTCTATTAGACTCAAACTAACAGTAGAACATGACACGCTTCACATTCTCCTTCAAAGCAGGCAAAGGTCTAACAGCAGCGCTGGCTCCAGGTCCTCGAGTGCTCCTTCCAGCAGCACCTCCAGCCATGCCTACTCGTCCAGCGGCAGCACCACTTGTCATTGAACCACTGTCTGAAGTCTCTGGCTCCATATAAAATCGAGCTCGGAATGCAGCAAGATGGGCATAATAAGCCGGAGGCACTGCAAATTAGTGCAAATAAAAGTCTGCTAGTAAAAAATCCAAGATAATTTAATTCAAAAATAAAAAAGATGAGACTTGACAACATGTAATACAGGCCCATAAACTAGCTTTGTACAACTTGGCAGAAGAGAAAAAGAAGAAAAAAATGAGCTTGTACAAGCACAGAGAATAAACTAACCAATTGATACAGAACGTGTGCATCTTGCATATCTGAAAAAACAAAACAGTATCACCAATTATTAGTTACTAGGACATTATCTAAATAGGAAAAAATGAAAAAAAAAAACGTCACAACCTCAGTATATAACATTCTTCAGCTAATTACCAATGAGGAGATTGCTCCTTAATTAAAACAAGTAATTGGAAACACACAATCAAGGCCAGAACTTACGTATAACAAAGATTGTTTGTGAGGGACTGTAATGCATCAGCTGTAAACTTGTTCTCATCCCATAGCACATGGTAGTGAGCTGGACGGCTTGTACCCTGTTTATTCTTTAGAAACAAGGTGTTAGAAAGGTAAAAAACCTAGTAAGATGAGCAAAAAAGAAGCCAAAAAGTATCTAGGTAGAAACTGTACTATCAAGTTGAGCCTGACCTGAATCCCAGCATGACTGCATAGATAAAAGTCAAATTCAGTTGGATGACAGATTTTGGAGTCTACAACCGTACCTGAAAGATATCATTTTGTTAAAATTTCACTGCAACAAGTATTTTAATTAAGTCAAATCAAATAATAAACAAATAATGTTAATTTACCAGGCAATATATTCCCACTCTTATCAACAGAATTGCGGTCGTCATGATTGTTGGCAAACAACCTTGTGTGATGGCGCTTCTGAACAACCACAAAGGTAACAGGAGGCTGATAGTTGGGCTCCAGAGAAGCACATGCCTGAAATAAAGCCAAACAAATAGTAAAAAGAAACATATGAACATAATCTACAGCTTCAAAAATTCAAGGGAGTTAACAACCACTGGTAATGCTTAATCAAGCAAAGCATCTTTACTTTTCGTATGGCATCAAGTTCATAGAGCAAAACTTGATAAAATTGCCCTTCACTAACACCATCCCTGGATATAAGAAATTAATCACAAAGTTAAATAGGAGAAATGTTAATAAAGCATATAGCAGGATGCAAACATGACATTACCTATAAAATATGATTCGCTGTGGCTTCTGCCCAGTAGCTCTGCGGAAAGAAATAAGGAGCTCCCTGTATCACAAAAACAATCAAACATGCATTCACTCATTATGCCATAAATAATAACCATATACTTTTTCTAAATACACTTGACAGCTATCAGAAGACACTCATGGAAGTCCAATTTGAAGAAGAAAAAATTAAAAATAAAGTCCCACTTGATCATGCCCCCAGCCACTGTCCCTCTCACAGGATCCTGCCATGACTTGTATAAATCCTGGATGAGCTCCTGGCGATGAGCTTGAGCACAAACCAGACCGGCATATTTTGTAATCTCTGGCCAATCTTGGGAAGCTACAACCTAAAACATTAATTGAGTCAACTAATTAAATTAAAAACGGAAGCTACCTAGTATAAAATTGTACACAATCAAAAAGAAAGTGTGAAAGAGGTCTCAGATGGCATACAGCTGCGATTGATGGGCTAGAATCCTCTCCAGGATGAGGATGGGTAACATCAGCACCAAAAATTATGGTAGGCCTGTCACTAACCAAAGGAATCCGTCTTGATATTGCATCAACAAGCACAGTATTCCTTCCTCCAACTTTCACATTAATTTTCAATGCCACATTTGCCAAGTATTGTTTGCTCATTTTGAAGACATGCTTAGTCAAACAGCATTGGGAAACTATTCCTAGATCTGTCTCACAAATCCGTTTCAAATCACCTGCAAGTGAAATTTACAAATAGAAATAAAAATAAAGCAAAGGTAATATATGCAAGTCGGTCAAATAAGGCCAAATACAATAAAATTAATAACAATATGAACACCCAATGTATTTTATATATATTGCTTACCATAGAGAGAGCCATTATTATCAGGAAGGATGACAATCAATAAGTCAAGCTCTTTCTTTTCAGGCTGTAGCTTTCTCATGGCATCATGATACCTAGTCTTCAAGGTCTTTTCCACCTGATCAGGATGAGCAGTGAAGATAGGAAGAACTGGATTTCGATTAAATGCCTGAAAAGTTACCAATGATACAATATTCAGATAAACATGAGTAGTATATTAACACTAAAACAAGATTCAACTGCATTACCATGATTCAGCACTAACAAATATGAAATCCTTACCATGCCAGAAATATAACACATCTGAGCCAGTTCAGTACAAAATGATTTGGCTGGCCCATCTTGAACTTGTCGAGAGAAGTTAATGCATATCCAATTGTTTACTGTTCCTCCATTTACCATTTTCTGTAACAAAACAGTTTTTATTGCAATAGTTATGAAAAGGTTATCGATATGCCATTATCATTAAAAGTCAAGGTTTACCAATTAAGAATACAGAGTGTATCATCATAGCTTATTTATATTAGTCATCTTCACAGAACATAAGAAGTTTGGCAAGCTCAGGCAATGGGGGCAAGAGTCCTGCACCTATTTATAATAGTAGCAAACAAGAACAACAATAATAATAGAAGGTTCCTAAGCCAGGAAGCAACTATAGCAAAACTCTTTCACACATACAGCCTAAGAAAAGGAGGCATAATAATAAGGTCAACAAGAAACTTAAGAGCAATAACAATCAAACCTTTTATTTTGAAACAAAGATGACACTAAACAAACAAAGGAGAAAACAAGCAAATAAACATCAGAGAATAAAATTTACATGAGAAACAATGAAAAGAATAGACAAAAGATAGCATACAACACAAAATATCTTCAGATGAAATAGATTCAAACTATAATGTTAACACAATGCCATCAGAGACACGATCTCCACTGTTCATTTAACAAAAGAAAACTATAAAATTTTATTGGAGACAGCTAAAACATAATGCCACAGCAGATAATGGCACACAGTACCTTATTCATCATATTCCATTGTCCAACTTGAGGCAGGCAATTCTTTTCTCTACCTGTATCATGATATTTAAGCTACACAAGCAGGAAACACAAGTCAATAGACTTACAATTGCAACATTAAAATCCAGAGAGAAGTAACCACAAAATTGCTGAAAGAAGATATTTTACCCAAGGTGCTGGCAAAATGCGTGCCTCAACTGAGGCAAGCCTCTCACTAATCTTAATTCCAAATTCTTGTGCATATGGATCCTCATGGTAAGCATTATGACAAACAGTCTGCAAAAGATATAGCCAATATAACAAAACATATATTCGACATGGTAAAACAAAGAAAAAACAGAAAAGAAACCAAATCTGTAAGGTTATAGGGCAGATATCATTAAAAGATAAGTAATAATATTGCATTCAATGTATTTAATTAATCTCAATGGGAAAGAAGAGCACTCAGAATGCATGCAGAAAGGAAACATCCACACATGAAAACTACACATGCAAACAAGGCATCAGACCTGCAAAATATCAGATTCCCTTTCCTGAGGACGTTGACAAGTCACCCTCAGTAAAGCAGTGATCTGTTTTTCATTCAATCTCTTTGAGTACCTCTGACCCTCGACAATCTTGCAAACCTATGTTGAATAAAAACTTAGCATAAATATCCAGACTTGAATAACAAAAGCCAAGAGAAAGAATGAAAAAAGAATTAGACAACTAACTTCCATTGGCAAATAATTTGGCCGTTGCTGATTGCCCACTTGTAGACATGGTAACTGATTGTGCTGAATGTTGAAACCGTATGTTTCATAGAAGTACTCAACAACAGATTTCATGGTACCTCTATCATCAACAGGGAAACTGTGACAAATGATAGAAAACATCAATTATATCACAATGCATTTTAACCAACAGGAATAAAATATTAGAAGGTTATAACCAGTAAGAAAAACATGTTATTTTTGAAGGATATTAACACTCACGTTAGCTCTCTTGTTGCCTGCGGTGTTAAACCAAATATTCGGTATTTTCTACGCATATTGCCACGGTGTGTAACTTCTACTTTGACTCCTCTAAGAGCCTTTTTGATCTATTCATACATAAGCACACAATATGTTAAAAACAAACACCAATAGCAAAAAGCAGATATTGCATGCTGAAATAATACATCATGTGAATGCATAGGACTGGATGTTAATTCCTGACATGCTTCATTTACAACAAGCAAAGGCAACAACATTTATAACACATGGCAGAGGAAATTCCAATCAGCCAACAAAGTACCATATATAACAAAGAGACCAAAGACTAAAAATTCACAGTTGGAATCATATCCAGTTGAAAGGGATCAAGGCAAGGAAATAATTAAAAAAATAAAAAATAAAAAAAGAAGAAAGACTAACCTTTACACGATCAGCATCAGACAATTGTCTAGAGGAAATGTCCCGATTTAGCAACTTGGATATAAATTCAATCACTGGCAGCGGTTCAATGAATGCAGTGGAGGACATATCTGCACAAGGTATAATTACCAAAATAAGGGATAGCTAAACAAGGAAGTGTGTACACAAACAAGTAGGCATGTAAAATTGACTTATGAACGTTAAATAGAATTCATCTTCCACAATATTCTAGGCAATGAATACCAATATTCAGTGAAAGTCCCATCTGCGTTGGGCGAATGCTTTGGTAAAAACCTCTCCAGCTTTCTAAACCATCACCAAGAGAATGTCTCCTCCCAAGAAGAGGGGAGTAAAATGAACGGCCTACAGGACAGTACCTGTAATCAATCAGAATTTAGTCTTCAAATAAACAGAAAAGGAATGTGCAAATGATACAGCTTTCATAAAAATTTGAGAACCACAAATCTTTACCTAGTAGTAGGCAACTCTCGAAGAACAATGTCAAGAACCTGAAGAGCTTCCTGAGGTGCATCAGCTTGCCTGCCTTGCAAAAAGAGTCCTAGATGGTGCAGGTCAGCACGTGCCGCAAATTTAATAACAACTGTAAACTGCCGGTCCCTTCTGCATCAATAAGGGATTAGGTATGGAAGACAAATTACAAAGTTGAGGCATCATTTCATTAGTTCTTATTTATAATCTTGCTCATTACTTCCCATAGTCTTTTACATGGGAGTCCAAGATAACCCATTAAAGAAAAAAGCCAATTAGATCCAAAACAGAAATCCATCCATCATAAAAAAGGTAAAAACATTACTTTGAAAAGAAAAATTAATTTTCAAATTTCAAATTTATAAGTTGAGAAGTAAAATAAAAACCTTGGTGCCCCTGATCCATCATCTTCACCAATAAGTGGAATCTTAAACTCCTTGGATGCAAAAGGAAGAGGCCCTGCAGTATAGAGACTCTTTCGCCCATCATAGGCAGGAAGACGTTTTCCTAGATGAGACTCTCTATATAATTTAACAAGCTTCTCCATTACAGCACGGTTGACTCCTCTCGATGCGATGTCAGGTGTTATCGTAACCTAAATAGTATTGACAATGTTAGTAACAAAAAGAATTGAAACAGTGTGGAGAAAGCAGTCCTATTGAAAAATAGCAATGGATAACTCACATCATACTGGTGCAAATCTTTGTCTGGAAGTTCAGCAAAGAAGTGATTGGCCTTAACTATGCATTTCGTGCCAAGGCTACCCTTTCCAGGACGAAGAGGAAATCTCATAGATTTGGATGACGGAGGAGCTCGTTGAATTTCCTGGCCATAGGCAGCCTCTTGTTGAATAGAAAGCTGCTGAACATGCTGTGTTATGTCAGCTGGATTTGATGAAGAACTTGCTTCAGATGGCAGCTGAGGAGTTGCCACTGCTTGAGAGGAAGGCAGGGTTGCTTGGTGCAGCTTGGGAATTGATTGTCTGGGTTGTCCACTAGAGGTTGGTCCTCCCCCACGGCCACCAGGCCCACCACCCATGCCACCACGGCCACCAGCATATCCCCCACGAGCAGCTTGCTGAGGTGGCCCTCCCCTTCCCCTCCCTTGGTATTCAGGTGGCCCCCCATAGGATTGCTGCTGTGGCATGCTACGGCCGCGGCCACCACCACCGCCACCGCCATAACCTCCATGGGCTGCTTGTGGGGTAGGCCAACCTCTTCCACCTTGGTATCCTCCTTGTTGTGATGGACCACCCCTTTCAGCTGGCTGTTGGGAACCGTGAGCACTGGCCCCACTAGCTTCCTGAGACTCAGAGCTTTCAGCCCCACTAGAAGGACGCTCAGTTCTTCTTTTCCGCACCATCAGGGAATCTTCATGGAGATGTCAATCCCTGTATCATGAAACTAAAGTGAGAGGCATAACATATCACTGCTTCCCAAAGCCACACCATATATATGCTAGAAATGGAGATACCATATAGACAAAACAAAATTTGTCAAAATGCATTACATATAATAAAAAGGAAAGATAGCATCCCCAAAAGATATTGAGCAAGTCACAGAAAGTATCACACCAATATAAAAAGCAATCTAAAATAAAAACAATTATAAAATGCTGATGGCAACATCCTTACACAGCTAATATCCCAACCTTTTATTAAAAGCATTTTTGTAATAACATCTATATCCCGTTAAATCCCTATAATGCTGATGAGTGATGAATGTGACCAAATCCCTAAACACAGATAACTGTAAAGCAAAAACACAATGTAGTTTTGGCAATAACTTTTGCAGAAAACAGATTTAATATCTCATCAGAGACTTGACGACAGCAAACAGTCCAAAGAAATCTACAGATAACTGTAAGGCAAAAACAAAATGTAGTTTGGGTAATAAGTAATAACTGTTGCAGAAAACATATATATAATGTCTCTTTATCTGAGACTTGAAGGCAGCAAACAGTCCAACAAAAAACTAGGAAATAATCGACAATGGTGTCACGTAGAGACACTCTAGTCATCCAGAAGTCACAAGGCACTCAGAACTATAGCAGAAACAAAAGCCATATCTACAGAGAGCTGAAAAACTCGAATATTAAACTACTTGACAAAATATACTGTATCAGGAAATGTATATAAAATGCAAAGACAAACTTGAACATAACAAAATCAAAAAGATCGCTCCCAATAGACACCACATAACCAAAAACCGCCCGAGGTATACAGAAGATTTAGAAAAGTCTTAAGGAAAAGGCAAAAGTAGGCAGGAAAATAAGCTAAAAATAATCAAAATCGAATAAAACAAAGACATGCTACTCATCATACTACGCGACTTTTAAAGACGAAAGAGATCACCGGAAAATGATCGGAAACACTGGAAAAACCCCTATTCGCAGCCAAACAGACAGATCCATCACACTAGAAGTCAAACATTTGAAGGAAAACAACTACCTAAGAAGAAAAATGCAAGGTCATAGCAGGCGGTTCAGAGAACCACCGTTCGCTAACCTGAAAATTGCCGTCGGAAAACCGGTTACTGCTTTGAGTTGAGCACGACTATTCGTCCTACCCCAAAAGGAAGAGAAAAAAGGAAAAAAATTTTGGACTCTGTCATCGATACCAGCTTATAGGGTAGTGTACTAAATTTTTTTAAAAGCAATATTTTTAATTTATATTAAATTAAACTATATAATAAAAAATAATTTTTTATTTTTTAATTTATTATATTTATTTTAAAATCTTTTATTTTTATTAATAATATATTATCATTAAACTAATTTTTTAACATATTACAATATTTTAAGGATGAGATATTCAAACCTAACCCAAAGATGGAAAATACATCATTTAACATAATTTATAATAATTTTACTTAAAAAATCATGTGCATTGTCATTAAACTAATTAAAATATTGATTCTATCAAATATATATTATAGGCCGCTATAATGTTTATTTAATGATTAAATTTTACGATTTAAATTATTCTAAATTTACCCTATACTGAAAAGTACTCTTTGTTTATATAAATAATTTGTTAAAATTAGACACTAAAAAAATTGTTTATAAAATTTAACATAATTTTTTTAAATTAATCAAAATTTAAAAGCATCAGAACCTGATCCTTCAGGTCAAGTAACATTAGTCACGTTTGTAAGGTTCATATCTCATCCTTAAGGTAACAGTCTCGATACGATAAAAATGTTTAAAAAAAAAAAATAGCACCAAAACAATACACTTCTTTTAATAGTACAAAGTCCTTGTTGTACTATATTTTTAAAAACCCCTGTCCTACTTTGCGGTTCCTTTCGCAAGCGCGTCTGACGTGGCCTACAGTGGCCTTGCTGTAACGTGACGTGGGGTTCGTTTTTCATTTAATTTAATAATTTTTTTTGCGTGATGTTATTGGATAATGTTATTATTTTATTATTTTATATAATTTTTACATATTATTAAATAAATAAATATATTTAACATCATAAATTTTATATAAATTAAATAAATTAATCATTTTAATGATATATCAATTATACAAAAATATGTGATAAAATAATTATCTCAATAATATTTTTTAAAATTTCTTTTATTTTAATTATACAAATAATTATTTTTCATATTTTATTTTATTTTATTTTCGTATCATCATAAGACTCAAACACTTTATTTTTGTATCATAGGATTCAAATTTAACATCTCTTATATTAAATAAAAAGAGATGTTTATTAAATTATTTAAATAATAAACCATTTAAGTTAATAATATTAATTTATTATTTATCAAAATAATAATAATAATAATTTAATAACAAAAAGTGCCACAGTGGAATGGGGAGTTGAGGTGAGGGACAGGATCACATGATTGGCTACGACCCGTCTTGATAACTGTACCGAGCCTCCACTCGCCTCCGTACCTGAACTTTTATGTTTTCGCCGTTGTGATTTTGCCACTTGTCACTGCTTTTACTGTCACAACCGTACATTTATCCGTGCGGCAGGTGCTTCAACATAGCATGCTCTATCAAATCACATAAACGATAAGGGTTATCTTGGAATCCAATGGGATTAGCTATCAGTAATAAATTTGTTTTTTTCATCTTGTATTGTATTGTGTTGGGTAATAAAAAAA